TAAATAAAATGCAGAGTTTTAAGGATCAGGAGTCTTAATTATACTGAATTTTCTTCTGAGTTCAATTATCAGAGGCAGGGAGTCTATAGATTTGTTGAGCTAAACTGGGCCAAATAGGAACATGAGAGACATTCATCAAAGAAAATACCTCAAATACTTACTCTTTTATAAAATATGCTACACAATCTTACCATTATGCATCAAGAATGCTATAGCCAACACAATATAAAATTGACTGCGCTAAAGAGGATTATTCCACCTCAGGGACCTTTTTCAAGTGGAAAAATACTACTGTAGTGTCCTCACACATATTTTATTAATCCAACTGATGGTAGACAATAGTAAGTTCAATTTACTACTTGAAACTTTATATTTATAATGCTTTTACTAAAGTAAACTATGTGGGCAGAATCATGAGGACTAAACCCCCACAAAGAATTGGTGAAAGTCTAAGGAAAGTAGTGCTGGAAACATAGGGCCTATAGACCACAATAATTACAAGATTCTTTCCACCTGTTTTTACAATACAGCTTAGCAATGGGATGCCTATGTTATCTGGTTTATGGAGGTTTAACCAATAGCTTACCAGTACTTACTTGGTTGTGGTTTAGTGGCTAGCAAACCCTACTGAGATTACAGCTAGGAGGGCCAGGTATGGTTCAAAGCATCACTCTCCTTTGATGCTCTTTAGAATGGCATATACAGTCCACCTTCCTATTCTTGAACTCTCAGAGCAGTATGAGTACTGCCTCCTGGTGGTCACTAGGGAGTGTTAGAGGTGAGCAAGTTTGTACTGCACTGCTCCAAGAATTGAAAGTAACATATTGGGAATAGTGGATGGTGCATTGAACTCCTAGGAAAAACTACCACTTTAGAGACAACCGATCATTTAAAGAGATTAGAAATATTATCTTTTATATGCATTTTGCTAGACTTGCTGTTTTGCTCTAAATATAAAGCTTTGTAAGATTGATTATATATAAGGTTGTAGACTCTATATAATCAATGTGGCCAGAAAAGGATTAATCAATTGTGTTAAAGGAGAAAGGAAGTCTCTTCAATATTTGGCTGTAGGGAAAAAAGCAAAACAAAAACAAGAACGCTTCTCAAAAATTAATATGGATTTTGTACTAGGTTGAGCACACTCAGAGGCACCCTGTTCTTAATTCTTACATTTTCCACCCTCTTAAGCTACTGTTTTGCAACTGGCTCTCCTTGGTGATCTATTTTAATAAATATTTGTAAATGTTTATTAATGCATTTAGTTTTAAAAAGTACTTTCAATAAACTTAAAATATTTCTATTCCTACACTATGGTATGTTAATTATCTTTTAATCTTCTTTCCTCTTGTTTACATTATCCAACCTGCTATTCTCTTTCTAAAGTTTTCCTTCAAATTACTGTCCAGTCATTATATTGCATTATATTTTATGAATTCAGCAAAAATAAGATTTTTTTTAAAAAAAACTGATGTCCATAGTTAATTATTTCTTATATAATCTCTATTGAAATGAGAATTTAAAATGTGCAGACATTAACATTTATATGCTTTAATTAAAATATTTGCAATTTTATATGCTGCCCCTTCATCTTTTGGTTTCAGGAGAGTGTGCAATTTAAAAGTTTTTAAAATAAAATGATCATAGCTGGGATTTTGTTCAGCTTTATGGTGCTCCCTTTTGGTATATCTAAAAGATATTCCCCTGGTCAACAGAGATATTCAAGATCAAAATCTACCCAAATATATATTTGGGCGAAGACCCGGAAGTCCTCACAATATATGGAAGTTTCCCCAACACCCAGAGACTGTACACCAGCTGGAAAGAGGGTGGGGAGGGTCTGGTGAGTGTCAAAGCCACTGGCCTAGATGAAACCCAGAGCATGCAGGAGTCCACCAGTAAGATGGCACCCAAAGATGAGCTGCTGAGAGAATGCCTGAGACAGCAGAAGGCATGGGAGGAAGTTCAAATGGAGGAAGTGCCATGGCAAAACAAGACCCTGCCTGGCATGTACTATTGACAGACAGCTGAGGTGGCTGACATTGGGAAATCCTATCAGTGGCTGGAAAGGACTGGACTAAAAGACAGCACTTTGTCACTGGTCATAGCAGCATAAGAACAGGCACTGAGCACCAGATCCCTAGAAGCAGGGGTCTACCACACTAGACAAGACCCAAGCTGCAGGTTGTGCAAAGATGCCTCAGAGACAGTCCAACACATAGTGGCAGGGTGTAAGATGCAGGCAGGAACAGCATACACTGAACAGCACAATCAAGTAGCTGGCATTGTGTACATATGCACAGTGTATGGGCTAGACCCTCCCAAGTCCAGATGGGAGATTCCACAGAAGGTCATG